TAGATAAATAGATACAAAGACAATGACTTAATGAATAGATAGATATAGAGGCAATGAGTTGATAGATAGATAGATAGATAGATAGATAGATAGATAGATAGATAGATAGATAGATAGATAGATATGTAATGAATAGATTGGGATAGATATGTAATGAATGGAAAGATAATATATAAATAGACAATGAATAGATAGATAATGAATAGTTACAGAGATAAGGAATTGATAGATAGATTGATAGATAATGAATAGATAGATAATATATAGATAGACAATGAATAGATAGATAATAAATAGATGATGAATTGATAGATACAGAATTGATAGATAGATAGGTAATGAATAGAAAGATAATATATGAATTGATAGATAATGAATAGATTGATAATATATAGACACTGAATTGTTAGATAATGAATAGATAGATACAGAGGCAATGAATTGATAGATAGGTAACAAATAGATAAAATATAGGTAGACAATGAATAGATAGATAATAAATAGATACATAAACAATGAATTGATACAGAGGCAATGAATTGATAGATTGTGAATAAATAGACAGATAATGAATAGATTGAGATAGATTGATAGATAGATAATAACTAGATCGAGATAGACCGATAATGAACTAATGAGATAGATAAATAATGAATTGATAAACAGAATGAATTGATAGCTATTGAATATATAGATATATAGATACATAATGAATAGGTAAATATAGATAAATGTGCATACAGATAGATAATTGTGCGTCTTGAATTCCTGTTCATACCATTATTTTTTTTAAAGTTTGTTTTTTTAAATCCCTAATCCTGACACAAGTTCACATTTCTTTTCAAATCTGAGATAACAATTTGTAAAAAGAATTATTATTATTATTAATAATAATAATAATAATAATAATAATAATAATGATAGATAAATAAATAAATAAAGTTTTTTTTCTTTTTCTTTCTGTCATTTTCTTTTTTTTACAACCACGACTGCTTCCATTGTGTCTGCCGCAGTCGGTGCTGTTCGCTTTCGGGTTGGGTGCCATCCAGCCGTCATTTTCGGCTGCGGCTCCAGTAAAGAGTTGCTTCTCTGAAGCTGAGCCGACAGCTTACCAGACCCCCACGTCTCTTCGGCTCACAATCAATACTTCCGCTTATACGTCATTTCTTCTGAGAGAGCTTAGCTAGTGTTGCCCACGTTGTAAGGGTAGTGGGTGCTGGAAACCACTGATATTATGACTACTAGTAATAGTAGTAGCAGCATTAGTCGTGGAAATAGCGGTAGTAGATGGCATATAGTGGTAGGAGTTGTAGTGAAGCTAGCTGTTGTCCTGTTTTTATTATTTGCAATTGTTGTTACGATGTTAGTCGTTCTGGTGGTGGAGCTGGTGATTGAGGTGGGTGAATAGTAGTAGTAGTAGTAGTGATGGTAGTGGTAGTAGTAGTGATGGGTTGCAAGCAGACGCAACTTGCTATTTTGAATACTTGCTTAACGACTTGATAGTGACACAACGCAATGTTTCACTACCGTGTTTGTCTATGATGTTCTTTCAGAGATTTTCTTTCTTTCACTCCACACTTTTTATTCTTTCTTTCTTTCTTTCAGCCTTTCTTTCTTTCAGCCTTTCTTTCTTTTCTTCTTTCACAGACTCTTTTTCCCCTTTCTTTCTTTTATTTCTTTCTTTCTTTCTTTCTTTATTTTTCCCTTTTCTTCCCACTCATCCTTCTATCTTTACTCTGTACATTTTTCATTTTCTCTTCTCATTCGTTGCGAAGAAGAAACAAACAAACGAATTTTTTCTTCCTGCAAATTATTCTTTTACTAAGTTGTTTTCTTTCTCCCCTCTTTCTTTCACACACATCATTGTTCTTTCACCACTTTCTCTCTCACACATTGTTTTTCATTTTTATCCTTTTCACCTACTCTCTTTCTCTCTCTCAGTGTTTTTCTTTCACTCCTCCCTCTCCCTTTCTCTCTTTCATTGATTTTCTTTCAATTCAATCATCGTGTTCTTTCTTTCTTTCTTTCTTTCTTTCTTTCTTTCTTTCTTATTCATGTTATCTTCATTCCTTCTCTCTCTATATTCTTTTCTTTCATTCTCTCTAGATATTTAATTATTATCTTTCGCTTATTCTCCACTTCCTCTTTTTACTTCTTTCTCTTCTATTTACATCTTATCTCTCTCACTATTTCTCTCCCTTCCTCTCTCTCTCCCCACCTTTTATTCTTTCTTTTGTTCCCTCTCTACACCCTTTTATTTCCGAGTTTTATATCTCTTTCTTTCATATATTTCCATTCTTCACATTCAGAATTTCACTTTTTGTTTTCCTTTTTCTCATTCACTGAATTTCTTTTTCATTCCTGTCCTCACACTTTTCTTTTCTTTTCTTTTTTTTTCTTGTCCAGATTTCTCGTTCCAATCAATTGTTCTTTTCTTCCGTTTTCGTTGTCTTTCACAACCCGTTTTTCTTTTTCTCTTTCATTCCTTCTCTTTGTTGTTTTAATTTCTTATTTGACTATCATCTCCAAATTCATGTTGTTTTTGTATCTTTTTTTTTTAATTTATTTATCATCAGTCAGTTATGTGCCATGCGTGATAAACGCTTAGGCGATCATGTATCTTTCGATACATGACTGACGAGGCAGATTTTTCCCTGCACTAGGTTGTCATTTCTTTCTGCGGTAAACCATTTGCCATCCAAGGCTATAGAACCCAATCTGTCCTGATATTTCCCCATAACTGGGGTGGGGAGAAGAAGAGGATTCATACCTTTCCCAAGGGTATTAGCACGTAAGTGCATGTAATGGATTCGATAGATAGATAGATAGATAGATAGATAGATAGATAGATATCAGCAGATAGATAGATAGATAGATAGATAGATAGATAGATAGATAGATAGATAGATATCAGCAGATAGATAGATAGATAGATAGATAGATAGATAGATAGATATCAGCAGATAGATAGATAGATAGATAGATAGATAGATAGATAGATATCAGCAGATAGATAGATAGATAGATAGATAGATAGATAGATAGATAGATAGATATCAGCAGATAGATAGATAGATAGATAGATAGATAGATAGATATCAGCAGTGTGATAGATAGATATTAGCAGATAGATAGATAGATAGATATCAGCAGATAGATAGATAGATAGATAGATAGATAGATATCAGCAGTGTGATAGATAGATATTAGCAGATAGATAGATAGATAGATATCAGCAGAGTGATAGATAGATAGATATTAGCAGATAGATAGATAGATAGATAGATATTAGCAGATAGATAGATAGATAGATAGATAGATATCAGCAGAGTAACAGATAGATAGATATCAGCAGAGTAACAGATAGATAGATATCAGCAGAGTAACAGATAGATAGATATTAGCAGAGTGATAGATAGATAGATAGATATTAGCAGAGTGATAGATAGATAGATAGATAGATATTAGCAGAGTGATAGATAGATAGATAGATATCAGCAGAGTAACAGATAGATAGATATTAGCAGAGTGATAGATAGATAGATAGATAGATATTAGCAGAGTGATAGATAGATAGATAGATATTAGCAGAGTGATAGATAGATAGATAGATAGATATTAGCAGAGTGATAGATAGATAGATAGATAGATAGATAGATATCAGCAGAGTAACAGATAGATAGATATTAGCAGAGTGATAGATAGATAGATAGATAGATATCAGCAGAGTAACAGATAGATAGATATTAGCAGAGTGATAGATAGATAGATAGATAGATAGATAGATAGATATCAGCAGAGTAACAGATAGATAGATATTAGCAGAGTGATAGATAGATAGATAGATAGATAGATAGATATCAGCAGAGTAACAGATAGATAGATATTAGCAGAGTGATAGATAGATAGATAGATAGATAGATAGATAGATATCAGCAGAGTGACAGATAGATAGATATCAGCAGAGTGATAGATAGATAGATAGATATCAGCAAAGTGATAGATAGATAGATAGATAGATAGATAGATAGATAGATAGATATCAGCAGTGATAGATAGATAAATATCAACAGACTGTGATAGATAGATAGATAGATAGATATCAGCAGAGTGACAGATAGATAGATATCAGCAGAGTGATAGATAGATAGATAGATAGATATCAGCAAAGTGGTAGATAGACAGATAGATAGATAGATAGATAGATATCAGCAGTGATAGATAGATAAATATCAACAGACTGTGATAGATAGATAGATAGATAGATAGATAGATAGATAGATAGATATCAGCAGAGTGATAGATAGATAGATAGATAGATAGATGTGAATAGACTGAGATAGATAAATAGACGTAAACATACCGGGATAGATAGATCAATTATGTGCCATGCGTGATACACGCTTAGGCGATCATGTATCTTTCGATAAATGACTGACGAGGCAGATTTTTTTCCCGCAGTAGGTTGCCATTTCTTTCTGTAGTAGACCAGTTGCTATTCAAGGCTATAGAACCCGGTCTGTCCTGCTATTTACCCATAGTTGTAGAAGAAGAGGATTCATACCTTTCCCAATGGTATTAGCACGCAAGTGAATGTAATGAATTCGACTGGAATTCGAATTCGGCTCTCCGATTCCCCAATCCGAGCTGCTATCCATTACTCCACATACTTTTCTTTTTTGTATTTTTCATCACCCACTCACAGAAACATCTGTCTGCGTGTATTTCATTTACATCTTTCTTTCTTTCATTCCATTATTCTTCGTCTCTGTTCATTTATTCATTCTTTACTTTTACCCACTGTCTCTTTCATTCTTTGAATTGTCATATTTGTTTTGTGTTCTTTCTTTCTCTGCATTTGTTAGTGCATTTATGATTTTTTTTCCTTTGACTTTTTCATTCATTGAAAAAAAGAAAGAAAGAAAGACTTTCGTTCAGTTCTCTAACTCCCTTTTAATTATTCTATCCTCGTATTCGTTTTTTTATTCTTATACTTTCTAATGTACTTTACTTTTTCTCATTCATTCTTCTTTATATTCTTTTATTCCCACCTTTTATTAAAACCTTTCCATTCTATTCTTTCGCGTTTTTTTCTACTTGTCTATTTGCACGATGGGCATATCGGTCTCGTCTCTATCTCTCCCTCCCTCCCTCCCTCCAACTTTCTCTCTCTCTCTACCTCTCTTCGCCACCAGCTTTGGGCTAAATGGGAAGATAGACTGAACTCTCAAGTCTTTAGTGACAACCAATCTAAGAGAAAGAAAAATCTGAATGCAATGCCATGTAGAAAACAACAGGAAATCATTCTATAATAAATACACCACCCTCCAAGAAGTCATGGCAATTCACAGACAATAAAGAAACGAAATCTACGGAGGGCCATGATAGCCAGCTAGCTAGCTATTCGTATCTATCTATCTATCTATCTCCAGCTAGCTAGCTATTCGTATCTATCTATCTATCTATCTCCAGCTAGCTAGCTATTCGTATCTATCTATCTATCTATCTATCTATCTATCTATCTATCTATCTATCTATCTATCTAGTAGGCTAGCTAACATTTTTGTCTAGGTAGGTATTTGTCTTTAGCTAGCTTGGTAGCGAGCTATTCGTCTATCTTGACAGCTCTTCGTCTATTTACCTATGTATCTAGTTGTTCCTATCTATCTATCTATCTATCTATCTATCTATCTATCTATCTATCTATCTCTTTCTAGCTCGCTAGATATCCGTCTATCTCTCTTTCTCTCTCTCTAGTTAGGTAGACGAAAATTTAAATTTTTGTCTAGCTAGCTATTTGTCTTTAGCTAGCTAGGTAGCGAACTATTCGTTTATCTATCTTGCCATCTCTTCATCTATCTATCTATCTATCTATCTATCTATCTATCTATCTATCTATCTATCTATCTATCTCACGTGTTTTCTTTCCACGCTTTTCGCTTCCCTCATTTCCATATTCAAAACGTCTCTCATTAAATAATTTTTTTAATTCAGTAATTTGTTCCCAACCAGGTGTTCAGAACTTTAAGTATCCTTATGCCAGATTTGTTGTGAAAACAAACTATTGCTTCTTTGCTTCTGTCTCTGCATTCTTTCTTCAACGTCTCTCTTCTAGCCCCAAACTTTTCTAAATCCACAACCCCAGTGCTCGAGAAACTTTACTCTTGCATGAAATGTCAACTCCGCTTTGAACTGTTTATTCATATCTTGACCCCATTTCGATCTCTCTCTCTCTCTCTCTTTCTCTCTCTCTCTATCTATCTATCTGTCTATCACTCTATCGTCGAGTACCCAAAAACCTGCTTTTGCAAACCCAGAAATGATGGAGTCATTCACCGCTGCACCTGGCAAATGAGGCCTGATTGTTTAAACAATTAATTCTTGATGAGCAGCCAAGAAAATAAACTAATCTGTTCCTAAAACATTCGATATTTGATGGCAGGATAGAAGAAGAAAGCAAGAAGAAAGGACTAATTAACAGTTGTAAGAAAACCAAATGTATGGTCGTTAGCGAGTCGAGAGCTAACCTAAGATGCCACTTTTTGAATTGAAGACTTTGATCAATTTCTTTACCTGCTTGATTTAAAAAAAAATGTGTTTTAACAGATAACGGAAAATGCAGCATTGGAATAGTGAAAGATGCTTTCCAAAAGAGTATCAAGAGACACGAAACTTTCGTTAGAAACAAAGAAAAGAGTGCTGAACTGCTATACAATATCAATTCTTCTGTGTGGCAGTGAATGCTAGACAATTTCTTCATGGAGGAAGCAGTGGCTTGAGGCAATATAGAAGTGGTTCAACAAAAAGATGCTGAGAATATCATGGACAGATCATGTAAAAAATCAGAATGTTTTAATGAAGATGGAAACAAAAAGGTCAGAAAGAGATGGATGAAATTTCTGGGAGGCATAATGAGGAAACATGGCTTGGAGAATTTGACACTGACAGAATATATTAAAAGCAGGATGGACAGAGAGTAAAAGAGAGAGTAACTGACCTAAATATATTTTGTTTAGGTTTTGGAAAGCATATTCCAATCTGCTTTCGGTAGGGCAGACTCTACTCTTTATACTTTTTGGTGGCAAAATAGTGAAATAGATTTCGGCTGCCTTCACTACGGTTCGAAATTCAGATATTTCCTCCGACCCAAGTTTAGATATTCCAATCTACCTTACTATTTTATCCATAGATGGTGGTAAAAGTGATGAACTTATTTTTTCTCCAGTAGCGTTTGTAAGAAAGGGAACGCAAAAGGTTAGCCTGCAATTCGAACCCTGCTCGCCGAGTCCATTTTCGGTAACGATAGCCGTTACGCTACAGACGACTTAACCGGTTTTCCTGTCCTAATATTATTGCTATTTATTCCAACACACTTGACCAATAAGATCATTAGTACTATTATGTCACTAATAGTTGTCACATCACGTTACCTATTTTCCGCCATTACTAAAAGGTTGTGGATTTCCAGAGTGTGACATGTTGTTGTGATCCCACGTTACGATTCCGATAAACCATTAGTCATGAGGGCACTACATATAGTGTCTTTCTTAATTTTTTTACAATGATATTCACTCTGTACAAGGCCCAAGAGCCACTCGAGGCACAGCGTTACAGAGTACAGTTTATGTGGCTATGTTGGAAAGAAAACGGTTAACCATAGATTTGAACAGATTAAAATACTAGTGATTGTGAAAACACCCTTTTAGGAGTCGGATCCACAAAGCAGCTGCTTCAGTGGAACTTAATCTCATCAGTGGAATACGAATGGAATGGAGTTGGTTCGCTACAATGGGCATGACATGGAGGATCTTAGCCGTGATGATTAGAACTGGTGAAACAAAGAAATGTAGTCCCCCCTGAACACTTACCAATGAATGTCTTGGAGCCCATCCGTCTTCAGGCTGGTTTGGAATTCAGAATTCTTCTTGGTTTAGACTGGTTGCCACCAAAAAGTATAAAGAGTACAGTCCACCCTACTATTTAACCTATAGCCAGGGGAAGATGGATTCATGCCTTTTGGGAATTAGCGCGAAGTGAATGTAACAGAATCAAGCGGGATTCGAACTCGCTTTTGGAACTAATAACCAGTACACTAACCGCGAACGAATTACTAATTTTTACTAATTTTTACTTCATCTTGTTATTGTCGTTTTAGTTTTTTATCATAATACTGTGGCGCGATAAGTTTTATAATCAAATAATAAATTACGCTTAAAAGTTCCATATTTTGTATCCTATAAAAAAAATTTCATGAAAATCTTTCCAACAAGTTCTCCCATACACTATTTACATTATTCGGACTATTGTCCTCATCTTTGTCGCCATATTTATCACAGCGTTTTGGCCGTTGTACGCTCCGGCCTTCTTCAGGTGGTTGGAATGTCGAACTGAACCCTTTATTTCGCTCACTGGGGTAGACTGTTTTAGTTCCACGTGCCATGTTTAATGGATGTCAGTTATCAGTTATCTCCTGTTAATTCCCCTCTGCAAGTTCTCCACTGCCTTAACCGTGTATTGAACTCACACTCTTTGGGTCCTGTCACTGGTTCTAATTAAAGAAGCTACCGAGCTGGCTCCAGTTCTCTCCAAACCTTACAATTATTGCCACGCTGCTTCTTGCTTTTATGCTTGTTGGAAGTATTCTTCTGTAGTTCCTGTTGACCCCTCTAACAATCTCCCTATTGGTCTCCTACCGCTTTTCGGCAAAGTATTCGTGGCTTTAATCAATGCTGAAGTGGTTAAGCATCTTGCCTCTTACGATTTACTCTCTGACAAACAATATGGCTTCCGTACTGCTACGTCTACCGCTGATGTGCAGTCATCACTGAATATGTATATCAAGTTCTTGATAATAACGGCGAAGCTCGAGCTGTGGATCTTGATATCTTAAGGCATTTGACAGGGTTTGGAACACTGGTCTTCTACGTAAGTCCCAGGTCTACGGTATTAATGGACGATTGTTTAATTTAATCCAATCCTTCCTACCAAATCAAGAAATTTGAACGGAGTCGCTTCCAGATCCTTTCACACGAACGAGCGTGTCTCCCAAGACTATCCTGGATTTCTGAACTTCATCAACGATCTTCCTGATATCATCAGTTACCAAGTAGGCATTTATACTGATGGCACTACCATTTATTCCTATCCCAATAGAAAATTTGTCAGAGCTGACAAAGTTAACCTGGCCGCTGCTCTTGAAAAGGACCCCGGATCTGTGGTTAACAGGGACAGGAAATCGCTCGTAAATATTAATGCCTCCAAAACGAAACTGCTCTCATTTAACTACTTTAGAGTAACTTTGCTGCACGCATGGCTGATGCTAGACTCATGGGGAGCAACACGCTTCGCCTTTTGGTCTCACCTTTTCAACTGACTTGAATGGAACGACTACATCGAATCAATAGCTGTATCTCCTGCAAGGAAAGTGAGATCACTGTGTCGTGACAGAAGGCTTTTCTCGTCAGAGTCCATCTTGCACATTTAGAAATCTACCATTCGTTCGTGCATTGAATACTGTTGCCATATCTGATCACGTGCTCCTGCTACTCATCTCGAAGTTCTTGACAAAATTGAAAGAGTGATCTGCAATGTAATAGATCCTGACCTGGCATCTCGACTTCAGTCATTTTCTCACCGACGTGACGTGGTTTCCCTGTCTTTTCTACAAATATTTCCATGGCATCTTCTCTGACGAGCTTTTTTCACTGGTGCCCGGACTACGTGTGTTTAAGCGTGCTACAAGATTGGCATCTAGGTCCCACTCGTTTACTATTGAATTAGTTAAATGTAACCGACTCTACGACGCCAACAGTTTTTTTTCTCGCACTTCCCGCCTGTGAAACTCCCTTCCGTTTCCTCGCGTCCTTGAAAACCTTCAAAATTTTAAATGCAACGTCAGTTGCCATCTTCTATATCCTTGAACCCTCTTCAGCTTTTTATCCTGTCCTCGGTCCCTCCCTTTACCCAGTCTTTTCTCTCACCTTTAACCCCTTGCGTACTAGCGGCATTCTCGCCTTGCTTGTGGTGAAACGAAATATTTAAAAGAATGTGCAGTGTCCCCTTAGAACGTAGGCGATCATGGTTTTCCACATCTTCCTGTTCGTTTTAGCTCTTATCCCTTTAAGCCCTACGTTCTTGAAATTTTTTTAACCCTTCTGCCTAATCTCCTGGGTCAAAATTCGCAAATAATTGGTATGTAATGTTTCAGGGTAGATCTAAAAATAGTTTCAAGTGTTTACCCACCGGCTAGGCATTAAGTCATTTTTCTCTACCACCGTTCAACCGGTGGCTAGGCATTACGTCATTTTTATTTTTACCCCCGGTAAAGCGGTGGTCAGGGCTCAAAGGGTTAATAGACTTTGTCTTTCTGTTATTTCTCCAAAGCCATGTCCCGTCATCCATTTTCTCAAGTTCACTGTTTGTTGTGCGTTGATTACCACTGTCCATCTTGATCTCTTTCTGTCCCGTGAGTATCAGATTTTCGAAACCCTTCATTCTCATTTATATGCTCCAAAAACCTCAACTTTCTATTCCTGATGTTAAGTATTAATTTCCTTTTTGTTTCCATTTTCTTCAAAAACTTCATCGTTACTTACATGTTCGGTATCCACAGCATCCTTCTGTAGAACTACATTTTCTGTTGCTTCAGGTTTCCTCTTCATCATCCAGTACCCATTGCCATATAAGAGGACAGATATCAAATAGCAATTTAGTACAATTTTCCTGGTTTCTATCGGAATTTTCCTATTTCTTCGCACTCTGCTTAACTTTTGGAATGCTTCTTAGGTTTCATATAGGACATAAATGAATGGAATCGTTCCTTTATATAAATAAGCGGAGATAAGCGGTGTTGAGGAGAGTTAGTAGTAGGTCTTAGTCGCGCGCTAAACTCTTAGCGCTTGTCGAACTCTCTGCTTTCAGGCAGAGAGTAACCCAGATGAGATTCTGCCCTTCCACATAGCCCCGTCTGGGGAAGT